TTTATGTAATCACAAAGGTCCTTATAAGAGGAGGTGGGAGGTCAGGCAGGAGAGAAGATGCTATGCTGCTGGCTTGGAAGATGGAGGATGGGGCCACAAGCCAAGGAATTTAAATGGCCTTTAGAAGCTAGAAAAGGCAAGGAAATAGAATCTCCCTTCCAGCCTCCAGAAGAAACACAGCCCTGTGGACCTAGAAGTCTAAAATAATACAATTGTGTTGTTATAAGCAATTCAGTTTGTGATGATTTGTTACCTAGCAATAGGAAACTAATAGAGAAGGGTTTCCTGTGTGATATGTGATGGCAGTTCTCTATTTTCTCAGGAAGCCTTCAGTAAAGTCTAGTTACCTTTCAGTATCTCAGGAGTCCAGTTGGGGTTTCTGTCTTGGGGGACAGAGCCAGGAACTGAAGCCAGGGAAAATGGCACCTGAATTCTGTTCTTCACCAAGGGTCAGAAGCTCAGCCCAGAGTACAAGACACAGTGAGGTTGGTGGGGAGGAGGGTCAGGCCAGGACCGTGGATAAAGGGGTAGGAAAGACCACAGAAGGGTCACTCAGTTCCTGCAGTCCCCAGACGGGGCTCATCAAATCAGGCAACTTTTACTTTCACTGTCAACTCATTTTTGCCCACAGACTGTTGGGGCTGGGACATTGATCAGAAGAATTTTATAACAATCACATCTGCCAACCACATGAAGGGGCTCCTCTGTCTGCCAGAAGAGCTATTCATGGGGAAGGTCATGAAGGGATTTTTGTAATGCCCTAATGCATTTGCAAAATCAGACAGGTATGATTTACTATTTTGTTGCTTTGTTTTCTTCCTGTCCTCACCTACAACGGCAGGCTCCAACCTAATTCGATAATCCTACCTATGCAAGTGAACTTCCAAACCTTGATTATTTTCATCCTTAAGCAAACCTACTTTTACCATCATTATACTTTGAGCCCACTGAACCCTCAAGCATGCCGGCAAAAACCACAATGATACCTCTCTTCTCCCAGATGCCCTGTAAGCCTTCCTTAGTTATAGCTGTGAAGTATTTGGAGAAACTTGAATTAAAGTGCTAGAGAAAGCACAACACACATTTATTGCTCATCTTGGAAAGACAACAGCAATGAGCTTCCAAAACTATCTTTGCTTAACATAATCTGGGGGTAATGAATATGGATTATTGTCAACAGTCATTTAGAAGCGTGTTTTCTTTTGTACATTTTGTTCTTTCCCAGCAAATGCCCTATCAAGAAAGGAAATGCCCTAAGCCCCTGTTCACATCAATAAAGCAAGCACTCAGAGGAATTACACAGAGGGAATAGAGCCAGGAAGGCATTCCTGTCACCTCAACATTTGTTCTAGTTGATTCTCAAGCTTTGATCATGGTTTCTAATCGCCAGGAATAAACGGAAGCAAATAGAAGAATTCACCTCCCTAAAAAGCCTGTTCATGTCTCAGTGTCATTGTGACATTCTGATGAAGGACTGATCAAGGCAAGTATTCCAGAGGGGAACCTCCAGGCAGTGCTGCATCCAGTCATTACTTGCAGAAGAAAGCTGTCCAGAGACCCACCTACCTGCCCAGGAAGGGAAACAGGAAGTACCTGTCAGACTTGTTGACCCACGTGGAAATGGCAACTTCTGGTTTTCCACGCCAAGCACTTTAGCGGTTTACTTGTGGATCTCAACCCTGCTGTGCATTAGAATCATCCTGGGAGTTTTTATAAATCCTGTGTCTAGGCCACGTCCCAGACAAATTAGAATTTCTGGGGTGGGATCCAGGCATCGGTGTGTTTGAAAGCTCCCCAGGTAATTCCAATGTGTAGCCAAGATGGAGAACCACTGGCAAAAGGGATATGAAGATCAGAAAACCCTTTCACCACCTCTCAAAGTGTTGACATTCAGCTCACCTGCATTTACCGCTGCCCACTCTTCTCACTTCCATCAGCACGTGGCCTGTGAGGGCCTCTCTGATCCTGAAGACAGTTTGTCCCACCCTCCTGAGTGCAACCTCCTTGTTTGGGGGTGCTGGCTGGCTGCAGAATTGCATTAGACTGTTTACTTGGCCTCCCTCAGCAGCAAGTCCACATCATGCTCACCTTTTACAACCATTCATGGGACTAACTTAAAGCATTCCTCAGGGCATGGTTCTTCAGCTAAACACTGCACTGCGGCTAGAATGGGCTTTTAAAATGTAAATTATATCATGTCTCTCTCCTGAATCATACCCTCAAGGGCTTCTCACAGAACTTAGATAAAACTCCATCCCCTATCTTGGCTTACAGGACCCTCCGCAGTCTGAGCCAAGGCACGTCAGGCAGGAAGGGCAGGAGTAAGGGTACCAGTTCTGACTCCCGACTTCCAAGCTCCGAATCTACCACTTCCGGCAAGTTACATAACTTCTTCCGGCTATCGTGGCTTCATTTGTGAAAGCCGATTTGTTGTGAGGAATAAGTTAGTTGACGCATATAAAGCTCTAACACAGCACTCAAATCCTCCTCCACACCCTATACCAGTCGCACTTGTTTGTTGGTACAGGCCTCAGTGGTTGTCCCCTCTGGACCACCTGCCGGGAGCACTCTTCCCCGACACCTGGCACGACTGGCTCCTTCTGGTCAAACAGGAGCCAATGTCATGTCCTCAGAGACTCTCACTGACCCTTTCTCACCTGTTTTTTTGTTTGGTTTTGTTTTTTCCTTTTCCTTCCCTGGAGCCCTGGTAGCACAGTGGTTAAGAGCTCGGCTGCTAACCATGAATCCTCCAGCCGCTCCAGCCGCTCCTTGGAAGCCCTATGGGGCAGTTTCTGCTCTGTCCTGTAGGGTTGCTGTGAGTTGGAATTGACCGGCAATGGTCTGTTTTTCTTTTTTTTTTTAATCCCCTTCTGGAATGATCTGGTTTTATTTGTTAACCTGTTTGTTGCCTGTCTTTTCTCACCAAAATATCAGCTCCGCGAGAGCAGGACCTTGGAAGTCTTACTCCACTGCGGCATCCCAGTGCCTAACGCTGGGCTGGCGCGGAGAAGAGGCTGCGTACATTTTCTTGAATGAATGAATGAACAAACAAATTAACTAAATCTAAAGCAACAAGCTA